GCAGGATTTCCTTTGCATGCCTGACTGGATTCCGTCCTGGAGTGGCACCTATCTTCGGATGTTTTTCAATACAATATATGGGATATATGAGTGGCTATAGAATATTATGCCTACTGTTTAGGCTAGGCTACGTAACCTATACTGAAATATGTTTAGGTTGATACTGTATGTGCCATTGACTTCAACAAAATTAACGCAAAACACTTCCGACGTGCTTACGAGTAGAACTGTAGTGAATATAGTATTATTAGGTATGCCTTGACTTGCCATGACCCAGAAATGTTCCAGTCTGTATAGACCTAAATAGATACTTTCCATCTTTATCACTCCGAACTTTTTGAAATTTCCTCTCAGAAATTGTCAGACGGTGAGAAATATCTAGAGCCCATGAGAGTATAAAACACATCTATTATTATCCGTCGGCGAGGTGAGCTTTGGTCCATTTTAGTGGGAGAGGGATTCCCTCAACGTCACCAAGGATACCAAACACAACAGCAAAGCACAAATATGGGCATGTACGTCAGCGGAACTCCGAGGCGGGACTTAAACGCTAGAAATGCCTTGGTTGTACTCGAGGAGGATGGATTCATTCATAAGACAAGATCTGCTACTGTGCACCGTAATACTAGCTAACGTCCCGCAGCGTTCCGCGAACGGGCTTTATGGATCTATAACCGCATATCTGACGGGAGGATAAGAACAGAGATCGGAGGATTTAAAACTAAACGAGAGGACTTTATAACAGAGTGAATTGGGACATCTTCCCCCTTACCGCGGGGAACTGGACTAAACTCCTTCATGCAACTTTTTTGGAAAGAAACCAAGAGCATCTCACCGGGGAATTACAAAAAGATAATTGACGGTAAGTCAGTCCTGGCTTTAACAGTGTGTGCGATATGATATATGTGAAATAAATAGCCTTTTTGCTTTCAAATGACCGAGTAGGTCAGAAACATCTGCGCACCGCTGTCCGTTAGTCTACTGAATAGCTTATGAGATACATTTACATATACATAAAGATAAAGACATACTTCCATGTTGATAGCCTGTTGCTTTAGCAAAATACACCAACCGCATATTTTTAGTTATAAAATACTGTGCTTAACATAGAATAGTCTTCAGTGATTGGTGGATCTATGCAGACTTAAGTAGCCTGATTAACCTCCGTGGTAGTGAGATAGTGAGCTAGATATCTAGCTTTTACCAGAAAATAGAGTAGACTGCACATTTAAACTTACTACCAAAGTAATAACTGGATTTGTTACTGCTCTGCCTATAACACCAGTCATTTTCTTCATAGAATAGCCTGCCTCCCTCTTCTTGTAACCTTCTTGTGTCTGCCGCTGCCCTGCCGCTGCAGGTGACAACGCGCACTCTCCGGCAACTACAGGTGTCGCGTTCTCTCTCGGTCCCTCCGGGCAAATGTACCAAGGGTTCCCCGGTGACCCTGACAGCGGATCCCGTGGAAGCTCGTCTCCATCTATAGAGTCCCAGTACCTTTCCTCCGTGGACTCCTTCGGGAGCCCTTCAACCTCCAGTGCTCCGCAGGTAAGTTACGCTTAATTGACTAGGCCTATATTCTACCTAAGATTAAACTAAATTTTAAAGAGAACACAACAACTGTCACTATGTCAGTTTCTTTACTCTTTTTTTCCGTAATGCAATGCAATAGGATGATTTATGGTTTTAGGTTATGTGGACATAGCTCATGAATCTGTGCTAATATTAGGCTACTGTATGGCTCTATAAGCCAAATATGGCATGTGCTTTTGATAATTCATTTCAAGGTAAAGTCTGCAGGTTGTCAAATAATCTATACTTATACTAATAACCTATACTTGTATCCTAGTCATTAACATAACGGTTGTATTTTTGTTATAATCAGCTTGATATATTAGTCAGATCGGCTTATTGTAATAGGCTAGGCTTTATGTTTTGTATGTGTTAGTTTAGCATCCCCCTTAGCCTATGTATTTTCCATATGTAGGCTGTCAGTGTCATAACCAACAGGCAAAACAGCATATCTTAAAATGTGCTATTAGGAAATATAGGCTACCAAATTACCAAATTAGTTGAAATGACGAGGCTATAATCATATACAAGAAAATAGCAAGCATATGTTATGCAAAGCATAGGAATGCCAGTCTATACCTTTTACAAAAGCCTATATAGGACTCACATGCTTGTGGACTCGAAATGTGATTTCTTCTTCTTCTTTTTAAGGCTATTATCGGAGGCTTGTGATGTTATTATAGGTCTACTTCTGTGTTCCTGCACTCAGATATAAATAGTCTCACTAAGTGGCCTATATCAACGATTCTATACCAATCTCCCTCTGTGAGTTGCTTGTAGTAGCCCCCGTAGCGGCTCTCACTCGTTGTCAGCGTGCTCGGTTTACAGCACGCCGCAGAACGGATGACAGCGTCCTGGAACTCTCCTACGTAGCGCCGAAGCACCTCCCCTCCTTCCACGCTCTCCGCTCTCCTCTCACAGTCCTAGCCGTGACGTAAATGCGCGTTCTATTTTGGAGTGCCACGTCGCGTTGCCAAGGGGAACACCGGGGGTGTGACGAGGGAGGAGGAAGAAGGAGGGGTAAAACGCTCAGGGAGAGACGTGATTGGTCGAGGCTGCTGCTGTCAGATCCGCATGCTCAGTGTCTTAGCTTCTGGAGGAATATTAATGAAAGTCGGTAATGACTTACTCGGGCCTAGAATATAAACATAAAAAGGACATGCGGGAGAGTTTGGCTTTTTATCAGTATTATTAGTCCTAAACTGACATAGCAACAAACACCGATTGAAAACGAGTGAATTCAAGAGAAAGACTGAGGCTGCTGCCTAATTGCCTTGTCTTTACATCTGTAAGTGTGATGTTTTCAATGGGCTGTTTTTGCTCCTGTTCGACAGTTAGATATACTACACGTTTTGAAATCACATTCTTTATCTGCTTCTAACAGGTCTTTATTACAAAGCACTAATAATAGTAAATGGATGGCCACTTAGCCTATGTATGTCAACACACAATTTTAATAATGATAGTTTTAAGTTGTTCATAGCATTTTAAAAAGTTTGTTTTATTATGCCATGCTGGAATATATTATGATTTAAAGTAGTAGTACAATCTGGATTAGAATTAGAAACCCTCAATGGTAGCCCTTGGTTGTAGGTAAAGTGTAGCATTTAGTTTTGGCATAATGGCACATTTTATCAAGTATGACAAACATTCAAGGTTCAGCAACTAATCCAGCTTTGTTCCTACCTGTTTTTCTGCTACCATTCATCTAAATATGTCCACTGATAACCATTAGGTTTATGTGGTTTGTAAAACTCTACTTGCTCCTGCTCAGGAGTGTGTGTCAGCGGGAGCTGGCTTGAACATTGTGGACAGTGGGCCAGGGGCCAGTGTCGGAGGGGAGATGCCCGGTTCATTTGTGCCCACTGTCACTGCCATCACCTCGAGTCAGGACCTGCAGTGGATGGTGCAGCCGACCCTCATCTCCTCCCAGGCCTCTGTACAGAGCGGGTCCACTGGTACTACAACCATGACCCAGCCAGCGTCACTGGTTGACCCATATGACATGCCAGGCCCCAGCTATTCTTCAGGTTCTGTATTCACCCCTCCAAGTTCTGATACTCCAGGCCCAGCACCGGGCCCCATCCGCACATCCAGAACCCGCAGTCGCCGTACACGAGAAGAGTCTGTGAGTGAAGATGGAGATGTTGGTGTGTTAGTAAGTGTGTGTGTTTGAACGGTTTCCTTGTTGACCCTTGCATGTTAGGGGTAAGACTTTATTGATCCCACAGTGTGGAAATTCCAGTGTTCCAGCAGCATTAGAGAGCAAACAACAAAACACCATAGGGACCTCTGAAAAGCAAATCAAAGGTACCTAAAAACAAGACAAAACATAGCACTTGAGAGAAATCAAGAACAAGAATATTATTCCCACAATTAATTCCACAATGGGGAGAAACCCCGTATATCAACAGCAGTAGAGACCAAACAACAGACACCATAAAAACAGCAGACACTGCAAGGTTCTCTGGAAAACAAATCAAGAATGGCCAAAAACAAGACAGTACAAGCATTTCAGAGAAATCAGGAACAAGATATCGCTCCCACAATCAATCCCACCAACAGAGCAGTCTGTGGTCAGAGGGCGAGGGGTGGAAGTGTATGCATTGCAGGTATATTGTTCACATGGGTGCCAAAAGAATTAGATCCAGCTACAGTGTACTGTGCTGTTAAGCAGTGGTGTGCAAAAACACATTCAGGGACATGGATAATAAACAAAAAAGGACACTTTCATAAAGCCTACTAAACAGGGAGACAGTGACAGAGATGGTCAGGTCTATATAGGGGATTGTGAGGGAGAAGGGCTTTTTAGGCCTGTTTAGTGTCATATAGGGAATCTGTTTCTTAGCCAGAAAAAGATGCTGCCAGTACGTGACAGAAGTTTTTAATTCTCTTTAAAAAATAAATTAATTAATACTTTTTTTTTTAAAGAGCAAATTGTGTTCACTCTGATGGCCCCTTCCAATATTCCCACCACTGCTGTTGGACAACATTTTCACAAACAAAGACCAAACCTTTATCCTAATCCATGTAATTTTTTTCTCTTTATTCTAGCTAACACCTGAGGAGGAGGAGAAGAGGCGTGTTCGTCGAGAGAGAAACAAGCTGGCTGCCGCCAAATGCAGAAACCGCCGACGAGAACTTACAGACAGACTGCAGTCGGTGAGCTTGACCCTGCTATAGCTGCCAGAATGATTAATGATCATAATTACATACTTTACATTACCTCCCACAGTGCAGAGTGTGTTAATATATGTCTGCATGTGTATGTATAAGAGAGATTATAATCCTCAAGAAAGACTGTGGTTTTCATTGCCTAATTAATGGGCTCTTATATAAGCCACTTTACATATCTAACTGCAGGTGAGGATGGTATTTCTACTGGGATGAACCCATCCATCTCTGCAAACACTGGTGTAGAACGTTGTTGTAGTTAACACTCCTATAATCCCTCTATCTCCTGAATATCTTATCCCCTTCTCTACCCTTTTCACCCACCTTTGTCTTGTTCTCCTGTCCCTTTACCCCTGTTTCTTTCATTCTCTGTATCTGCCCACAGGAGACGGATGTACTGGAGGAGGAGAAAGCAGAGCTGGAGGCTGAGATCTCAGAGCTGCAGAAGGAGAAGGAGCGCCTGGAGTTTGTTTTGGTGGCCCACCAGCCAAACTGTAAGATCCCATACCAGGACCAGCCTCAGCAAAGCTCAGTGCAGCTCCCTCCAGTCCAGTCCCAGCTCCCTCCTCAGACCTTACAACCTCCTGTCTCCATTGTGGGCTTGGCTGTGAAGGAAGACTCTTTCTATCTGCCCCCTGCCTACACAGCCCATCCGTCCTCCACACAGTCCCAACCTCCGGTTCAACAGCAGCAAATGCAGCAGCAGCAGCAGCCTCAGCCAGGGATAATGCAGGAGGTAGAGTTTTCTAGTTCTTTCTATGGCTCAAGTGAGCTGGCACCCGGCGGGCCGTGCCTTATGGCCAGCGACAGTGGTGGTGGTGGTAACCATGACGATGTGGCCATTGGCAGCTGCAACACCTCATACACATCTTCATTTGTGTTCAGCTACCCAGAGGGAGCCTGCGGGGTCAGTGCCAACCAGCGGAACAGCAGTAGCGAGCAGTCATCTGATTCCCTGAACTCGCCTTCGCTGCTGGCGCTCTGACTAACCGACAGACATGTGCACGCATTTCAACATGCACATCCATAATGCTCTCTGGAAGTAGAGACCTAGACAAGTATATATACAGTGCCAATCTGTTTTATGGAAAACGCAACCAATCTTTTGTACCTGATTGGGTTAAAGTTTACACAGAAATGCACTCCAATTAAGAGCCATACAAAGCTTTAATACAGAGCTTAGTGAATATACAATATACAATGAATACATTTTGTCTTGTATTATTGGAATAACTGCAACTGGATAAGTGCATGAAAACCACAAAAGTCCAAGTTGCCAATTTTAAGTGCTCTGAATTAACAGAATAATTCACAGTGAAACCTCTCAGTCTTCAACTTGTACAGCACATTAAGTAAGATACCACAAGCTCACTTTACTCTCCAATGAGCACCAGTGCCCCCACCTTGTTCCCTCTGTCGGTTGCCCCTTTTCCAGTGCTCTTGCTCTCATCCTTCTTCATCCCTTTTTCCCTTCTCCCTCTTGCTGAATGTATTTGTGCTAATCTGAACTAGGGATGAAGAACACTTTTTTCAGGCTCTTCTCTTGTGAGAGACTGACTGCTGATCTCTCTCTCACACATCTAACCCTCCATCTGCTCAACCGCCCCCTGCTTCTTCATCGCTGCTTGGACTTTGCAAGTTGAGGGATCTGAGTATCACTGCCTCAACTAAATCTTGTGCTTTCACCTGTCATTTTTTAAAATTCCTCTGCCGTCTGCCTACCTGCCATGCGACCCATCTCTACCCATCTCTGTTTCTTCTCTTCTGTCTCTGTATTTCTCCTTCTCCCTGAAGTCTTCAACCCCTGAGAGCCCGAAGACCCCTTCCAGCCCTTGGGACCTTGAGTGAATGCCAGCACAACTAACACGCCCTTTTGTACCCTCTCATACAAGGACATGGATGCAAGCCCCCCCACCCATTCAGAAGAAACTTTACCTTGCAACGCACTGCTCAGAAAGGATCTTTACAGTGAACAGCAACTAAATATTTTTAACACATACACAAAGATGCATAATTGATGAGTGCAAAATGCAAGACAGATGCCACTGTCTTCTGCTGAGCCATTTTTCAACGTTCACACAATGAGGATTAGACATATTTTATGTTGTGAGGCTGGTTAAAAATGAGAATGGAGCGAGGAAGGAAATGCAGTAAGCTGGACAGACTCAAGGTGACCACTGATGTTTGGAACCAAATCGTGAAAACCAAGACAGAGCCAAATGTTAAAAACAAAAAAATTTAAAAAAAGTAAGAAAAAAAATTCCGCTCTTGCCAACTGTGTCGAAGGGTGACCTCAGCAAAAACGCCTCCGTACCACAGAGCCTCATCATCCTGGGCCCACATGCGCACACTCACTCCATCGCTTTCAAGTTTCTCAACTGAAGATACAGATATTGTGTTGCAGCACACCAGCTTCGTGTTTTGTTAAGAATCAATCAGATGTGAACCGATGCCTTTATTTAGAGGAGAGACTTCAGACAACCTCTAAACACCAGGTTCAGTGGTCTCTGTACCTCCCCTGTTCTCTCAGAGGGGATGAGGTGGAGGTGCGTTTATTGTGAGTGTGTCCACTCTGAGGCACCTGGCCTGTTTATTTCTTTCTTTATTGAGGTTGAAGTGGCAAGTGAGCACAAAGAAAGACCTGGAAACGTGGGTCGACGTTGTGCCGTGAGTGTCCTTTCTCTGCCTGTGAATTTGTACAATTTGTTTTTCTAGTATGATGGAGAAAGTTTTGTTACATATTTTAATGTTTATGTTTGTCTGTATGTTTGGTTGTTTGCAATGACCTCTGCTTATGCCTGTACCTTTGCAGTCCCTTTTTTTTTTATATTATTTTTTGTTTTTTTAATGGGGAGATTTCGTAATAACTGTTACTGCTATTGCTTTGTAACATTATTGTATTGTTTCATTATTTTATTGTATTTTCATTTGGCAACTTCAGAGGCATATTGTGCACTACAAAAAAAAATGTAACTATAAGTTTATATGCATATACAAATATACAGGCAACATGTACATGTATATACCATGATTGTAACGTACAAATTAACTATTGAAGAACAAGATAAAATGTTGCTGAAGTTTAGTTTTAAAATGAATATTTTTCTAAAGGAATAAAAATCTATAGTAAATTTAAAGTACCACCCCATCCCTCAACATGAAGCACCAGGTCACTGCCTCTATCAATGTGTATTTATGTTTTATAAACAATATATAAAGCACTATCCAGTCACATTAAAATGTATGTTTATAATTATAATGTAAGAAGGTAATGCCTTTGTTTTGTTTGTTTGTGTTTTCCCTGTGAGGTCTGTCCAAAAGCTACTGACATCTTAATGCCACTTGATGCTTAGCAGATGCTAAATGAGGAAAAAAAAAATATTTTAAAACTAGTGTGATTGAATGTCAGTGCACTATTAAAAGTGTGTTTGGACCACAACGTGATGACTAAACAGTTTCATTTAAAGAAAGTGTTTCGTATCCAGTATGCATTTTTGTTTAGTATAAACATATCACCCAGTAACATCATGTCCTAACTGAAAGGTGTGTTTGAAGGATATCCACAGTTTTAGCCTTGATATGAACGTTATCATGTCAAAGTTTACCCATTCCTGTACTACAGCAAATATGTTGCTAATTGAGTTGAAAAAAAATCTTGTGTTTGTATTTGCTGGATAAGAAGATTTATTTTCAATAAATAAATATGTTTATTCAAAACAACAGAGCAATCAGTGGTATAAATCTTCGTTCACATGTGGCTCTTAGTAGTCAGAGAAATGGGCAGACCTCATTTTTAAATGTTGAATAAGGACTGTGTTTGTACAGATGTCGGAGATTCCTTTTGATTTTTCTTCAAATGCAAATGTGATGAGAATATGTTCTGGTGTCAGAATAAGCATAAAACATATTCAATAGTTCTCATGTATATAGGTTTTTGTGGTGCTGCATATATAGTATGCTATAATGAAGAGAAAGTTTTATATCATATGGTGGAAGGCTACAAATTGCTGTTAGCCGAGGCTCCAGATATTTGTCTTGTCTCCTGAGGAAGTTTTATTCTGAACAGAAGCCAATAACACAGTGAATTCCCAGCAGCAGAAGCTCTAAGAGCCCAGTAATCACTCTGTGATTTCCTCATGTCAATTGCCTGCTACATCTCTAAGTGTTCAAAACAGATCTCAGAGGGCCCTTGTACCGTACCTCCACTACACACTTACTGTATGCCCTGGATCACAACACACCATATTAGACTCACTCTTTCACCTGATTCCTTTGCAAGTTGTCTGAACTTTGAACAACTTTTTTCTGTGAGGTTAGAATCAGAAAATATTGTGCTAATGAATTGGAAAAGGTGACAGCGACAGAAAAGAAGAAATATTTAGCTACTAGGTGTAGGACAGAGAAGCTGCCTCCGCCTACCTGTACTGTACAATGGCTCCATGTGCATTAAGTGAACAAACGCTTTCCTATTTTTCTATGATGAGGTGAATGTTGCAGTGTATTTCTATTTTTTCACAAGTCCCATATCTGTGCTGATTTTCCTGGTATAAAATGCAATACTTATTATCCTCTTGGATAAACATAATGTAGCAAATCACACAGTGCTCAAACTGACTGCTACTCTATGTCAAGTGTGATGATGTATTGCTTTAATTATCAGTTTTTGTTAAATACAAAAAGTTATCTGTAATGCATATCATAACATTCTGTTCATGTGTTACGATTTATTTTAAAATATCTCTTTTATTACATTTATTGATGCTGTATAGAGACACTAGGGAGGTTTCATCATTACAAAAAGTCATTTTGTTTTGTTACAAACCATTCCTTTTGTCAGTATTTCATCAACGTTTGTAACGCTTTATCTGGATGTCTTTATCTGGGAACAAAAGTGGCAATTTTGCCACATTTGGAAACTAAGGATGATCCAATACATTTTGAAGTTACAGCAGTGAATGGCCCAAAGAAATCTGTTCTAGATGTAACATTGTAGGGCTCTTATTACAAATGTCATTTAGGAAACATTG